ATCACATAATTTCTAAAACTAATCCTATTAAAATTTTCTCAATGTAATCACAAAAAAACCAAATCCTTACAGGTTCACAAATAGCCTTTTCTAATTGTATCATATGCAAAGATATACGTACATATGTATGTATATACATCTTGTAAGATAAACTTAGCATATATTATATCACAAAACTTTTCGTGATCTATATAATAAAAGTTTATTCTAGAAACAATATATATATTTGGTAATTACTACTTATTAAAATTTTCTGATCAAATGATTTATTTTACATGAGATATAATATTATTTTATACAATTCACATAAAATCATGGGTGAGATAATTTTGTGATCTTGCACAGGGTATATCTTTAATCATATATGCTTAAAATCTTCTATTTTGTAAAAAGAACTTGCTATTTAACAAACCCAGATATTTTATAAATTCTTAGGTTATGCATTTTTTTTAGATCCTGGGTCTTTGTGAATAATAAATATTTATTTCATTCTATAGCTGTTCTCATAATTTAGAACTAATAAAATTTGATCAAATTTGATAAAATCTAGAATTCAGCATTATTAATACAATGTATATTCTTATTGTTAAAAAACATATTCATTCTTGCCAGTTTAAGCAATAACTAAAACTAGCAAGTTTTTTTTAAGTTAAATTTTTAATATATAGAGCTTAGCATAAATAGATTTATAACCAGCTATATTTTATTTACACAAATAATAAAAAAAATAATACAGTACAATATATAAACTGATACTAGATTGTTTTATACTTTTTTGCCCCATTATATTTATTATCCAATTATATAATTACAGTTTAAATTTAAGATTACTATATAAGTGCAAAATAACACTGGCTATTATTTTGAAAATTAGGTCTTTCAAAAATAACTTATATGGCTTCTATTTAGCACTAATAGACATTCTGCATTATAATTTAGCACAACTTGATATATATATTCTCTATAAGGGATACATGTTATTTCACTGACAATTACTTTACAAACAACTTAGTTCACCAACAATCAATTCACAGACAAGTTCATTTTACCAACAATTATTTCACTAACAGCTCATTTCACTAACAAGTATTTTTTATAGATTATACTAACTTTAGCTCTAATTCTAACCTGACACTAACAACAATAACCAGAATTATTTTGTCAGTGAAATGTTGTCAGTAAAATAATTGTCAGTGAAATGAACTTGTCAGTTAATTAATTGTTGGTGAACTAAGCTGTCGGTAAAGTGATTGTTGGCAAAATGCGCACCACCCCTCTATAAGTGTACATAAATTAATTGATCTAATATAATTAAAGTACATTTATGAAAGATTAATTTAAAATAATGCCCAGATTAATTAATTAGCATACAAGTAGATATAATTTTATGCTTATATAGTATAATATTGTTTCATTAACTTGGATCTTATCATTATTAGCATGATCCAAAATTGCAAAACTAATAAAAAAATAACAATTTTTTTAAAAAAAAAAAATCTTAAAATGCGGTTGAATATGGCTTGATTTAATCTAGTATCATAGCTTAAAGCTAAGACTTAGCATAAATCTAATTAGTTTGAGCTGTAGTTAAATAATTAAATTTAATTCAGATCTATGGCTTAAAGCCAAGACTTGGAATGATCATACCAACTTAAGCTATGACTAGGATCAATTTCAAATTAATAATAGATAATATTAAGAAAAAATCAGACATTAAATTATAATTTAATATTGATATGATTTTTTTAAATACTAAATCCAGTATAAAATATTTTAAAGCTCTAAGCCTAATTTCTCTTGGCATACAAATATATTTTTAATATCAATATAGATTATTCTTGTTTTAAATTAGGTATCAGGTATTATATTATAAAGTTCTTAAGCTTCAAGTATGAACTTTTCAATAAGCCAAGTCAATAACACCTCTACTAAATACAATATATAAAATATAAAAATTTTAGAGTAGCTTCAAAGTAAAAATAAATATAAAAATACTTCTATCACATAGCACAAAGCCTCAAGATTAAAATAGATTAGTAATTAGATTAGAGAATGATATAAAATCTTAAAGCATATTATATACAATATATAAAAAACTATAACAAAAAAAAAAAATACCTTACTATTAGTTAAAAATAACTAGCAATAGCCACATTGTTCTTTGAAAGTTTAATTAGAATTTTTTTATAATTTCTAATTTCTTACAAAAAAAACACATAGCCAACTTAATAATTCCCAACACAACCAAATTTGCAAATATGCCATCAATAACCTATCAGTGAAACAACAAGATATTGCCAAAGAGGCTATACAAAAAAATTTTGAATTAAAGCTTGATTGATTAACTATTTCTAAAATATTAAAAAAAAAGAATCAATATCTATATCTTAAGGAAAATATTGCTATGCAAAATTGGTACAAAGACAAAGGACCAAAATTTCTTTTACTCGAAAGTGCAATGAATATTTGGGTTGGCCAAGTTTCTGCTACAGGATTGCCTATTTCAAATGAGTTAGTTAAATTAAAAGGTTATAAATTTGGAAGACTTCTTGGCATTTCTGAAGAGAGGCTAAAATTCTCAAATAGGTGGATTACTAATTATAAGAAAAGAAATTCCTTATGCAGATATAAGCTTTATAGTAAAGCTGCAAGTGCACCTTCAGAATCTCTATTGGATAAGAGAATAAAGCTTTAACAACTATCTTTCCAATACAAATTAGAAAACATATACAATGCTGATAAAACTGGATTGTTTTATCGAATGCTACCAAATCAAATACTAGCAAAAAAAGCAGTAGCTAGATTAAAAAAAGAAGGTATCTTTTTTTTTTATATACAGTAAAATCTCTTAAGTGCACATACTATAAATATATAGTATACTGGTAATTCAGCTCCCAACTTATAAGAGTATTATATATTTTACTTACTATAAATGCATGCTCTCTTTAAGTACATGTTTTGCTTTTATTTTAATATAATTCTAAGGCAGATGCACTTAGATTTTGCTATAATAAAATTATTTTTAAATAGAAAAAAAAAATTGTTGTTTAAACTTGAATACTATTATAGTAATTGTGTTCTTTTATCTAATGCTTTGTTATTACTTTTTGTATCTTTTAATAATCTTATTACAAGATAAATTACGGCTTATAGTACTACTTGCTATAAATATAACTAGTTTATATAAACTTCAGCCTCTTGTTATTGGGTATTCGAAAAAACTATGAAGTTTTAATAATATAAGATTATCTCAACTTCTAGTAATATATAAAAATAACTAATGAGCATGGATGAGATTAGATGATTGGGAGAGATAGTTGTGCTATATTAATACTGGTTTTCATATTCAAAATAGAAAGATTTTACTTCTTGTAGACAATAAACCATCATATAGTTTATCTAAATCACCTAGTGATACAAAAGAAAAAAATATTATAATTAATATAGATAATGATGATGGTTGCTAGTTAGGTTCTGAAAATGAAGATCTAGTAAATAATTACTCTAATTTATAAATTGATGATGATAGAAATGATGAATATCAAAATAATAATAAAAGTAAGTTAAAATAAATACTAATAACAAAAAAAAAATAAAATAAAATAAAAAATAAAGGCATCTTTATAAACCAAAAAAACTTAATAAATAATTTAAGAGCATGGAAAACTACATGAAAGCAGAAGCAGAAGCCTATATAGAAGTAGAAGCAGAATTAATTTATTTTTATAATATTTATAATAATTTACTTTTTTTTAAAGTATCTGAAAGCACTGTAGCTAAACTATTAGAAAATTAAGGAGAAGACTATGTGGAAGTAGAAGTAGAAGACCATGTAAAAGTAGAAGTAAAAGACTATATAGAATATTACAAATTTTTTATGCTAAGTCTTTACGTCAACAAAATAAGAAAAAGTCTTTTTCTAAGATATTAAAACTTTCAAATATTATTTTGCATTACCTTCCACTACATACAACTGCTCATATTCAGCCCATGGATACTGGTATAATCAAATCATTTAAATTAAAATACAAGTATCTATACTGTGAATATGTTCTTCAACAATTCGAATCTGGTATTAATATAAAAAGATTTGTATAAATATTATTGCACTAAAGCTGAAATTATTTAAAGTAAAATTTGTATCTCTTTTAAAAATATAAATTCTCTAAAATCTATTTATATTCTTTCATGACAAATATAATTTTTAATCCTAATCTAATCTTAATAATAAACCAGAAAATATGAGTGTTATTAAAAAAAAATCTGTTGTTAGGAAATCCAATAACAGGTTTTTCTTTAACAATACTTATATATCTAAAGATTTGAATTCAACTATCTCTAATTTTTAGCTTTAACCACAACACCTGTTAGTCTACTATTTTACTATCTTAGTTTTTTTCTTATAGAAAAAAACTAACTATGATTTCATTGCAGATTCATAGGACAGTATAAATGATATAGTCATCTAAAATTGTTGACTTAAGACAGAAATTCTTTCAAATGTAAACAAATTGGAAATAGATACCATAAATCAGTATGTTGAAAGCAATACTTTATTGAATAATAATGAAATCAGTAAAATCATTATTAAATTATTTGATGAAAGCCTAAGAGGCTTAGGCTATAGCAACATATATCAAGTAGTTAACAAACCCATTGCTACTAAGAAATACTTAATGATAAAGAAATTATTGCTACAATTCAAGCTGAGAAAAATGAGGAAAGGTTAACTGAACAGAAAACTAAAGATAAGGATGAGATACCTGAACCTTTTGTAATAGCTGCTAAAGTATATAATACAATGCAAACTATTATTCATTATGAAGAACAAAAAAATTCTGAGTTAAATATTATACTAAAAGAATTAGAATTTTTAAAAAAAATTGCTCAAAGAATATAAACATATATATAAAAAGTTAAAAAAACAATCAAAAATTACTAATTTTTTTAATTCCCAAATTTCAAACCTCTATGATTCATTCACCTATAATCTTTATAATTCATTTTCTCATAACCCCATGATTCATATCCCTCAAATTTATATTTTCAAGACTATTCTCAAGATTCATATCTTCAAGAATTATATTCTCAGGACTCATATTCTCAAGAATCATATTCTCAGGATTCATATCCTCAAGATTCATACTCTCAGGATTCATATTCACAAGATTCACAAGATTCATAAACACAAAATCAATACTTAGATGATTCATCTTTCTTTTATTCCTAATATTCATATTTCTAGTTACAAAAAAAAAAAAATATATAAATAAATCTTTGTATTAAACAATTTAAACTATATTATATATATTAATATATTGAATATTAATGTGAACAAATTTTTTGTCTAGAACAATTTACAACCTATTTTTATGATTTGACAAAGTTGTAACTTGAAATAAAATAAATTAAGTAAAATAAAAAGAAATGAGTATTTTGGTATTATATAAAAAGTTAATATTATATAACCTAGCTTTTGGATTACAGTAGATAAACTGAAAATAACCTGTTAGACTCTGAATGATTAAGCCCTGGTTGGAATTTAAAATAGTTTAAAAAGTGTATTTAGTTCACTTCATTCTAGAATCTATATTCTATTTTCTGTATTAAAAGTTCCTTTGATCTCTTGACTGACTATAACAAATCTACTACACAAAAGAATATAGTATACAAATTAAAAGGTTAACTAGAAATAAAAACTATTTTAGAAATACTATGTATTATGACATAGTGATAGTTGCATATAAGTAATCGCTATTGAATAACTTTTATAAAGTAACTATTAAAAGTATTACACCATCTCTTTTATAGTTACCAAATTTTTTATTTATTATAATTGTAACTATATAAAGATTTTTTTTATGTAGTTACATCTTTTTATAGTCATCTAAATTCCATTTCTCAGACCCATAACTATAATGAGGTTAGACTATATATATAGGTTTAACTAGATACAATAAGTAAAATTTTATATACAGGTATACCTATTGATTACTCAAATAATCTGTAGGTATACTTGCCAGTTAACCAGATAATATTTTTTTGATTAAATATAATTACTAGTTTTATATAATTTTAAAAATTGTATTAACTAAGGGTGTGGTGACTTAGTAAAGTGGTGGAGTTGTTGCACCCCCAGACGGCAGGTTTAGAGTTCGAATCCCATGGACAACAATTTTGAAAATACTAGATCTGTATCGGTTAACGTTAAGATTATCGGTTGGATCCAGATATCTGTAATCTTGGTCAC